AAAATGGCAGATTATTATTCACTATTATATTATGTATTCAGGGATACCAAACACAGCTTACCTTGTCACCCAGGAGGGAGGAGACTTTCTCCTCTTTGTATATGCTAAGGTAGTCATGTATGACCTTGATTTGTTCAGTATATTCTCCATTAAAATATATACCTAATAGTAATGTGTCCTGTTCCTGTTGACTTCTATGAATTGTAATGTTGTGGAATAGATGTTTTATGGCACGCTCTGGATTCCTAGAGCCTTAATGGCCTTACATGTCATGTGAGACAGCTTGACTGAGTTATAATTGTTTTACGATAGGGCAGAGGAAAGTGTTTTTCATTGTTCTTGGAAACAGACATCCTGCCAAGACTAATTAGCTCTGGACAGGTCTGGACACTGCGTATATTTGTGGTTAAATTAAGAGGTTCTTTTGAAGTTAGTTAAAAGTTACAGCTACAAATTCCATCATTTGCAGCAAGGGAGGGGGGCAGGGAAGTAGGAACACTGCTTATGAGACCTTAACAAGATGGCTGTCGTGCACAGCTTCCATCTCTATTGCGCACAATCGTTACAACTATCACAAGGGATGTTTATATTCTTTGTGATAATAAAAGTTGGACAAAGGCGGACACGCATGTAGGTCTCTTAGGTATATGCAAAACTGTGTTCGTGAATGTTAAAGCGAGCACAATAGTTCCAGCACCAGACCTCCTGTGCACCTCCAAACTGGTAACCTATAAAGGCTTTTAAAGCATCACCTATTGAGATTTTTAAGTACCATAGTTCGCTGCCATTTCATGAGTGTGCGCAATTTTAAAGCATGACATGTTAGGTATCTATGTACTCAGCGTAACATCTTTTATTTTTTTTGCAAAATAGTTGAGTATTATATTGTGTTTTTGGGCATTAAAATTAATTAAAAGTGTATTTTGTTTTTAAAAAAGTTGTTTGAAAAAACCGCTGTGCAAATACAGTGTGACATAAAACATTCCAACACCCATCATTTTATTCTCCCAATTCTCTCTCTCAATATATATAATGTTTGAGGGTTCGAAGTAATTTTTTTTTAGCAAAAAATACTGATTTTTTTTAAAATGTAAATAAAAATGTCAGAATTGGCCTGGTTTTAAAGTGGTTAAATTAGGACCACATCCACAAGGAAACCCACAAAGTCCCTTTGGGCCTGAGATAAATATGGACCCTGTGATTCTTCAGGCGTACATTCCTCAGAGAATGAATTTTCCATGTCCCCCATGTTCCGGAAAAGTCACTTGCCCCTTTTACCTTTTCTTCTAGTTGATCCTCAATGGGTTCCTCCTCCGTTAACAGAAGGGAAGGGGTGCATTTTCATTTGCGACCAAGACAGTCTAGACCAGAAAGGACACTGGAGAACTGTTGCAATCGAGTAATAGCCGATTTGAATTCCTCCATTGACATAAACCCTTTAGCAGGAAGGTGCCCCAGAAGTAGTGGAAAGACCAGACAAACAGAGAAAATCAGAGCCACCTGAAACTAACTGACCTCCAGGGGTTACACTGCAACACCCAGATTTCCTCCTGCCTAATAAAGGAACAGTGTTGTCTACCTTTCCATGTGGAGGGCCTTCCAAAATGGTGGCCACCAGTAGTTTGAAATCACCGGCCCACTCAGCACCTGCATGCGCAGGTCCCTGTTAAGGCAGATGGGGGCAGAGAGAAGCGCTGAGCGCCACCCAGACAGCCTCAGTGCCGTTGCAGCTATGTAGTGCTTGGGGTGGCCGGGAACAGCACACAGTAAAGGCAAAATGTGCACAAAAACAGTCACAGGAAGGTTGAAGGTAGGGACTAGGGAAAACAGAGCAGGGAATTCATTCCATCCCTACAGGGTAGGAACACTCAGGGATACCCCAGGACACTTACCAGTCCACACTGCAGGGTCCCTCCAGGAATCCAAACTTCAACCCTCATTGTGGGCTTTTGACACAAGGGCCTTTAGGGACCTGACTCCCCAGCTGGGGATCACTGCCCTGGACCTGTAGAGCACCCCACCAGTCCACAAGGAAATAAATAATTGTACAGGGTTCAGTGAGGAAAAACAGCAACATTACAGGCTTTCCTCGCATGTCCAGGACAGAGTTCAGTTACTATTCCTCGTAGTAGAAGCTATAGATAACAGACCCAGATAAGCCAGCCTTTTGGTTCCGGGTGGAAATCTTGAGAATAAACCAGCTACAAAGAATAAATTTGTGCAGAGCCTGCACAGACATGATTATCACCTATGACACAAGTACAAAAAAAAAAAAAAAAAAAAAAAGAAAACTAGGATGTGCCTACCTAGGGTGGGGTTAATCCTTTATTTTACAGCCAATGTCTAATCACCACAAGATGGCAGCATGACCCTATCGTAAGTTAACATGTACTTTTTCTGGAAGGAAAAAAGTAAGATTTGCTCTATAGAAGGTAATACTTGCCTTCATCTGAACTCCTAGTTACAAGCCCATAATAATTCCTATGCAGCTTACAAAAATGTAAGTGCAGCTGAGAGCTTTATAAACTTCTCTGACCAATGGACACTCAGGCACCGATCATAGTACAGTGGTAAGGCATGTGTTCCCTCATACTCACAATTACCAGGGTTTTGACAAGTGACAGGGGAGGCCAGGATGGTAAGAATTAAAATCTAATGGTCAAGTGAACCCAATGCTTGGATTATTGCAGGCAATGTTTAGATGTGTTTTAAGTCATCCAGTTCCTTAGCTGTGACATTACCATTTTTGATCTAGAATGTAGTAATTAATATATAAGAAATATGCAATTCTGTATGGATACTCTGCTGGGAACACAGTGACCTTTTCACCATTTAACACAGAAAAATCTTTTTTGACCATTCTTCTTGTGTGAGTCACAGGAGTGCACTTACTTGTGGTCTCCAGTGACCCACTGAGAGCCTGAACCAGCCATTCCTGTCTCCTCTTCAGCTTGGTGCTCCAGTGAGCGCTAGAGGGGCAGGGCAGAGCAGAGAGCTGGTGACTAACAGTCATTGCTTTCAGCCCCGAGGGAACCGAGAGGTCATGTGATCGCTCAGTTCTCAGGCTTAGGGCCAGCAAGGGACAGCTGCTACATCACACCAATGCTGCAGCAGGGATGCAAGTATGTATAATTGTTTTTTTTTTATTTTTTTTCAATTTCATACTTCAACTTTAATAAATAAGTGAGCACTTTTTAGGGTTTCGTTCACATTATCCAGTTTGAAATTGAGCATAGTGGTGAATCTCTACCCTTAGGCTCCATTCATACCAATGTGTTTTTTAGTTCTTTTTGCAGAAACGCACTACAGTCCATTTAACATGGTTTCCTATGGAACATGTTCATATCTATGCTTTTTTGCTACAACAGAGTTCAATGGAGAAGCTGCTGAAATGCATGAAATGCGTTTTTTGCTGCATTTTGCATTTTTCTGCTGCCCAGCAACAAAAATAATTTCACTTTTAATATAAAAAAAAAAAAACTGAACAAAAACACAAAAAAACTCGATAAAAACATATCATAATCATGTAGAAAACCGCAACACAAATGGCAAAAAGCACTGGAGAAAGCATCAAATGCAAAATAATAATATGTGAACCAAGCCTTAAACTGTGGCTGTCAATAAAAGGGCAATCAGCCAGGAGATTCCATAAAACCTGTGTATTTCCATGAAGCAGCTGAAATGAAGTTCTATAATCTTGGCTAACACCAAGCGAATAAAAATCATTCAACCAAGATGACTATTATCTGTATTGCCCACCATAATGCTTTTGGAACAATTCTTAAGAGTTTGGAGCAAAATACGCATTTTAACTGCAGAAAATGACTTATTTACCTACTGATATTGTTAAATAAATTATTATCCATGTAAAGAACCCCACATTGGTTCTAAAAGATCTTTTAGACGTAGTAAGAAACACCACTTGTATTTACAAAAACATTACAGCTAGCAGTAGCCTCCATCATACAGTCACAGCAAGTCACTCGTAGAAAACAAAATCACAAAAATATTTTTTAAAGTTTTTGTTCTATTAAACTCTTCTGGGCTTATTTCATTAAGCAGTGCAAAAACTGTGAAGTAATGACAAGCAGATTTCAGTTTACAGAAGTCTTACGATGCACTGTATAAATCCAATTAGTTTCATCTAAAACACATAGGTGGGGAATCTTTTCCTTTACTTCTTGTATCTTCCCATTTCCCTAATTTTAGGTGAATTTGGTCAACCATACCATGGCATGGGCATACAGCTCTGGGTGACCATTCTGTGGCAAATTTAAAAAATGTTGATTGCCATGGTTTGTCTGAAGGTTAGCTGCTGTGGAATCTGCAGTCTCCTTGCACCTCTCCCCTCCACAAATAAGTATGTAAGGCTGAGTAGATCATACATATTCAGTTTTGCCTGACAGTAACTGAATCATGCTTGAACACCTTAAAGCTCCTTCCATGTCTATTTGCACCTTTAGAGGGAATCTGTAAAAGGTTTTGCAAGTATAGCGATTTCTTTTTAACATGTTTAGTAGTTGGATAGGATATTCAAGCAAATATTTTAAAATTTTGGAGCTAGTCATGCTAGTGTGTATTGATGGTCATTTAAACAAAGTCTACAGCTAAAAAGTCTATAAAGATTTGTTATAGACTACTCCATAGTTGTCCAATTAGTTCAATATGTCAATTTTTGTTGTTGTTTGTGTGTGTGTCTTAAATACAATTTCTTTTACTCTGTACAGCAAGCACCTCTTGTATATGTACAGTTCCAGCTCATTAAGCCACTCACACCTTGGCATCAGCGGCACTTTTTTTTTAATCAGCCAGTAATCCAAAAGACCGTATATGACCTCCATGGAATGATAGAATTGTTTGTCAGTTCTGTGTTGAATGAAGTGGAAAAATTCACTTGTTCAAGTGTTCTTGGCGTTCAGGCTTTGAAAGTCTCTTACACACCATACAACAGCTTAACATTTCTGGTTCTTCTGATTTTCAAGTTCTTGTATTTTATTTCCCTACCACTTCCCTCTTTTGCTCCAGTCCTTCGGCGTAAAATGCAGACATTTGGAGTCTATCCTGAGAACCCTCTTCAACATAGCTCTTTCGTGACCTTCCACGATGTCTTCTGAAAGTGTAAGAATGTACTGACCCTGCAAGAAACATTCTCTGGTCACTGAGAAATACTGCCAAGCTAGGAAATAAGTTACAGTATAATGGTGGTCAACGTACATGCTACAGGTTGCCCTAAGTGTATCCCTCATATCACCAAAGGGCTGCACATAATATGCAGTGAATATAATGCTAAAGAAAGTTGTCAGACTGCAGACATGCAACAGGACAGAATATGAAATTTAAAGGCAAGTCAAAATTCTGTTTATCTTAATCATAGAGTACAGGACACAGGCTGGATATTCAGACTCTGAGACATACCCATGCAATGAGGGGTAAGCAAGAAGTGCCAACAAGCCCAAACAAACAAAGGTCAAAGACCCAGCTCAGAGTGCTAAGAAAACCTTGTGGTCAAAGGCTGCATCCACAGAGGTCTGGACATCCACCTAGTGGACCTTGGAGAAGGCATGAACTGAAGACCAGCTGGTGGCCTTATAAGGCTAGGCAACAGAAGCTTGATGTCATAAAGCCCAGGAAACTCCAACAGAGCTGATAGTGAGCACGTAGTGGTACTGGGGGTACCTTACCTTTTAGAGCATAAGCTCTTGCGATGAATTGTCTTATCCATTTAGCAACAGTGGACTTAAAAAGCAGGGTGTCCTTTACAAAACCCTGTTGGCAAAACCAAAAGAGTCTGTTTTTCGAATAGACACTGTGGCTGTCGGATAAACCCTGACAGCTATAACCATGTCCAGAGAGTGGGGAGCAATTTCCTTGGAGATGCTGTGGAGCAGGGCACAAAGAAGGAAGGACAATGCCCTTAAAGTAGAACAATGAGGCAAAAGTTTTTTTTTAGTTTTGGATAAAGGGAAGAGGGATTAGAACACTTGTCAATCTTTTATCGCTGTTTGTCCCCGTTAGGGAGATTCACCCTCTCTATTTGTACTATTTACGATTGTCATTGAAACTGAAAGTAAAAGAAAACAAATTTTGGGTTGTCACCAGAAAAGTAATAGAAGGGAAATTTTCCACTAGGGACACTAGTTCTGGTGACCTGGGTGTCCCCCAAGAAATTTCCTTAATTTGCAGGGGTTTCCTCTCACTTCCTGTTTGACTATGGGACAGGAAGTGAAGGGAAATCTCTGCAATGGGACACAGATGCCAAAAACAAAATCTGACAGGAGTTATAAACCTCCCTTGCTCTATCCAAAATGAAAAAAAAAAGGTTTTGCCTATAGTTCTTTAGGGTGGAAGGCTGAGCATACGTTGGCTAGAAAAGTGGGTCCTGAATGCAAGACCACTTTATCCTTGGGGAGAATCAGGAAAGGAATGAGGAAGCCGCTAACCCAGAAACAAATCTGACAGATGTGATAGTCACCAGGAAGGCCAAGAGGAGGAGAAAGCACCCAGTGAGTTCAAGGGGTGGTGAGAGCCAGACTGAGATCCCATGAAAGCATAGGGTGCTGTAATGGGAATTTTATCCAAAACAGCTCTTGAATAAAGGTCTAACAAGTGAAATTGAAGCCAAAGGGTTCTGGAATAGGATGGGTACAGCCGAAACCTGACCCTTAAGCGTACTTAAGGTCAAATTTGGATCAAGTCCCAATTGTAGGAAGGCAAAAGTGTGAGGTACAGAATAACCTCTGGGGTTGAAAAGCCTGTATTTATGCCAGTCAAATTTAATTTCCAGGTACGATAGTATATTTTTCATTAGGTGGCTTTTCTGGCTCTAAGTAAGGTAGGAGTCAGAGAAACCCCATCCTTCAAGACCTGTGTTTCAACAGCCATAACTGAGGAGGAGGATGAAATAAGGAGCCTTGGGACAACAGGTCTGGCCTGTTTGGAAAAGGCCAGGGCTCATCTTTCAGACTTTTGAGTATGTCTGGGCATCAGGTTCTTCTGGGACTTTCCAGTAGAATGAAAATCACTGATTAGTCTCTTCCTCTACTTTGCAGAGCAATTAAGGAAGAATCTGCACTGGAGGAAAGGTATATTTTAGCCTGAGTCCAGGGAATTGGATCCCAATGGTACACGATTCTTGGTCCTGGTCACAAACAGGGGTAACTTCTTGAACCTGAAGGCTAATAAGCCACATTTGGAGTCCTTAATTTCTCACATAGGAGATAGAAGATATGGGGATGAAGGGACCATTTCCCCTGGTCCAGGAGGTGACACCTGAGGAAACCCATCTGCCAACTGTCCATTTCAGAATGTGAAAAGCAGAGATTGCACGTTAGTGGTTCTCTGCGCAGTAGAGAATTTGTACTTTCTTCCTTAATCAGTTCCCGCCCGGCCTATGGCCGAATGGCGACCGGCAAAAACCCCTCGTCCCTCCGGGTGGACGCCATATGGCGTCCTTTCAGGCATGCGCAGTTTGCATTCCAGCAGAGGCGCGCAGCGGCGTGATCTGTCACCGGCCGTGTACCTCGGACACGGCCGATGACAAATCTGTGTATCAGCCCCGTTGCCATTACCATGTGACCTGCTGTGACCAATCACAGCAGGGCACATGACAGTTGTATACAATGGATGGCTTCTTATCATGCCAACCATTGTGTACAAGTGTGGCTAGCAGTGAATGGTCACAGCGATCACATGCACAAGCTGGGCCAATAACAGCCCAGCTGTGTCATGTGATTAGCTGTGGCCAAATCACAGTTAAAGGGGAAAAAAAAAAATCCTGAATGAATCGATTTCATTCAGGTAAATGCTTGCTGATAGCAAAGTAATTCTTCGCTATGAGCAAATTGTGTAAAAAAAAAAAAAAAATATATAGATCACTTCCCCAAAGTAGTACAATGTTACTATGGTAACATTATACTACTTTGGTCATAGTGAAATATGAAAAAAAAAAAACTTAAATGTAATAAAAATAAAAAATTATCAATTTTTTTTTCCTACTGTCACCAGTCAGTGTCCCTGATCACCCCATGCCAGTTATATAATGCTGTACTGCACTGGAGACAGCATGTAAAAAAAAAAAAAAAAAAAATTAGTGAAAATCATTTTTATTTCCGAAAAATGACAAAAAAATTACAACTTCAAAAAACTCGCCATGCCTGTTATGAAATACGTCGGACTGTCTACTTTGAAAAAAGGGGGCATTTGGGAGATATCTGTACATTCTTGGACCTCAAGAAATTTGATTGGCCGTCAGTGCTTCAAGACTGATCAATTTTCAGATATATATCATAGTTTTTTGAACTCTATAACTTTCCTACAGACTAAATAATAAATACTAATTTGGGTTATTTTCACCAAAGACATGTAGAATACATCTTGGTCTAAATTTATGAACAATTATTTATTTGCAAACTTTTATAACAGAAACAAAGAAAAACGTTTTTTTTTCAAAATTTTCAGTCTTTTGTTAATTTAGCAAAAAATAAAAACCCCAGCGGTGATTAAATACCACCAAAAGAAAGCTCTAGTTGTGTGAATAAAATGATAAAATTTTTGTTTGGGTACAATGTTGTATGACCGCGCAATTGTCATTCAAAGTGTGCGAGCGCTGAAACCTGAAAATTGGCCTGGGCAGGAAGGGGGCAAAAGTGCCCGATATTGAAGTGGTTAAAAGGATAAGTTCACCTTTATACAAAAAATACTAAATGCACATTTTTTTGCAGCTTAAAAAAAATGTGCATTTATTATTTTTTGATGCAGGAGCCTGTAAATCATTGCACTAGCAATCAGCAGATCGCTGGTGCCATTTCAGGTCTCCTGCAGATCTTTCAGTATATCTGCTTGCCCGTACGGGATGTATAGGCAAGTAGATATACACACAGGTAGAATCAATGGACTACCACAGTGCTCCAGAGCGCCGTGTTGGTTTATTGAGAACCACAAGCTGACAGCCGCTAAGGCTGTCTAGACTTGTAGTTTCGCATTCACAGAACACAGTGAATGGGTGATACGGCCGGGTGGGCGGAACACCACATGGCCGCATTTTTTCTAAATTTTACAGCTAGCGAGGGGGGGAGCAGGGGCCCGTGCATTCTTAACATGTTACATCCTGAATATGGGTGTAATGTAACATGTAACATGTTATGAAGGGTGAACTTATCCTTTAACGCTGCCTGAATCCTGTTATTCCCCTGATAATTGATATAGGCCATTGTTGTAGCACTGATGATTGCACACTGACTGAGTATCCTTAAAAAAGGGTGGTCCAGTGATGCAAAGCTAGTTCTACTGGCTGACCTCCAGGATGTTTATAGGGAACTTTGCTTCCCTTAGGGACCAGTTTCCTTGAACCAAGAGAGATTGGAACATGCCTTCCCAGTCTGTGAGGCTGGCATCTGTTGTTATCACAGAGTAGGGAAGAAACATATTTTCATTTGGTAACCCACCAAATTAAGGAGTACCTTGCTTGACTGGAGAGACATACAGTGAGGAACAGAAGTATTTGAACACCCTGCGATTTTGCAAGTTCTCCCACTTAGAAATCATGGAGGGGTCTGAAATTCACATTGTAGGTGCATTCCCACTCAGAGACAGAATTAAAAAAAAAATTCAGGAAATCACATTGTATGATGTTTAAAGAATTTATTTGTCTTGCACTGCTGAACATAAGTATTTGAACACCTAAGAAACAGCAAGAATTCTGGCTCTCAAAGACCTGTTACTGTGCCTTTAAAAAGTCCACCTCTACTCCACTCATTAACTACCTGTCTGAGCTCTTTAAAGACACCTGTCCACCCCACAGTCAGTCAGACACCAACTACTACCATGGGCAAGACCAAAGAGCTGTCAAAAGACACCAGATACAAAATTGTGGACCTCCACAAGGCTGGAAAGGGCTACGGGGCACTTGCCAAGCAGCTTGGTGAAAATAGATCAACTGTTGGAGCAATTGTTAGAAAATGGAAGAGGCTAAAGACAACTGTCAGTCTCCCGCGGACTGGGGCTCCATGCAAGATCTCACCGCATGGGGTATCACTGATAAGAAAGGTGAGGAATCAGCCCAGAACTACAAGGGAGGAGCTGGTCAATGACATGAAGAGAGCTGAGACCACAGTTTCAAAGGTCACTGTCGGTAGAACACTACGCCGTCATGGTTTCAAATCATGCATTGCACGGAAGGTTCCCCTGCTCAAGTCATCACATGTCCAGGCCAGTCTGAAGTTTGCCAATGACCATCTGGATGATCCAGAGGAGGCATGGGAGAAAGTCATGTGGTCAGATGAGACCAAAGTAGAACTTTTTGGTCTAAACTTCACTCGTCGTGTTTGGAGGAAAAAGAAGGATGAGTTGCATTCCAAGAACACCATCCCTACTGTGAAGCATGGGGGTGGTAACATCATGCTTTGGGGGTGCTTTTCTGTAAAGGGGACAGGACGACTGCACTGTATTAAGGAGAGGATGAATGGGGCCATTTATTATGAGATTTTGAGCAACAACCTCCTTCCCTCAGTCAGAGCATTGAAGATGGGTCGTGGCTGGGTCTTCCAACATGACAACGACCCGAAGCACACAGCCAGGATAACCAAGGAGTGGCTCCGTAAGAAGCATATCAAGGTTCTGGAGTGGCCTAGCCAGTCTCCAGACCTAAATCCAATAGAACATCTTTGGAGGGAGCTGAAACTCCGTGTTGCTCAGCGACAGCCCCGAAACCTGACAGATCTAGAGGAGATCTGTGTGGAGGAGTGGGCCAAAATCCCTGTTGCAGTGTGTGCAAACCTGGTCAAGAACTACAGGAAACGTTTGACCTCTGTAATTGCAAACAAAGGCTTCTGTACCAAATATTAACACTGATTTTCTCAGGTGTTCAAATACTTATGTTCAGCAGAGCAAGACAAATAAATTCTTCAAAAATCATACAATGTGATTTCCTAATTTTTTTTTTTTTTTAATTCTGTCTCTCAGAGTGGGAATGCACCTACAATGTGAATTTCAGATCCCTCCATGATTTCTAAGTGGGAGAACTTGCAAAATCGCAGGGTGTTCAAATACTTCTGTTCCTCACTGTATAGGGAGATGGAGAGAGGAATTGTGTTTGTTCCTGGTAAGAAGGTGTTGTGTTAACCACTTGCCTACTGGGCACTTTTACCCCCTTCCTGCCCAGGCCAATTTTCAGCTTTCAGCGCTGTCGCACTTTGAATGACAATTGCGCAGGCATGCAACACTGTACCCATATGAACTTTTTAGCATTTTTTTTCTCACACACATTGAGCTTTCGTTTGATGGTATTTAATCACCACTGGGTGTTTTATTTTTTTTTGCTAAACTAAAAAAGACCAAACATTTTGAAAAAACTACTACGTTTTTCTTAGTTTTTATTCTAAAATTTTGCAAACAGGTAATTTTTCTCCTTCATTTGTGCGTTGATGAGGCTGCACTGATAGGCATTGATGGGGAAGCACTGATGAGGCTGCACTGATATGAGGCAATGATGGGCACTGATCGGTGGCAATGATGGACACTAATAGGCAGCACTGAAGAGCACAGACTGGTGGAACTGATGGGAACAGATTGGCAGCACTGACAAGCACAGATTTGCATCACTGACAGACACTTTTGAGACTGCACTGACAACCAGGGCCCTGATTATCAGTGTAGATGTCTCCTTTCAGACTTGCCAGTTATCTGCAGTACTTAACTCATGCTGTGACAGCGTGAGGAAATTACTGCTAATAACCGGCAAGTGTATTTACATGCTGATCAGCTGTGATTGGACACAGCTGATCACGTGATAAAAGGCAGCTGTGATTGGCTTTTTACTGTATCATGTAACACAGCAATCAGAGCGCCACTGTGGGGCACGTGAGCGGCGTGTTCTGGGAGGATGTCATATAACACCCTCCCAGAACTGGACAACCACGCTGTAGCCGTCATTTGGTTATACAGCAGTCAGAAAGAGGTTAAAGAGGCCTTGAGTGGAACGGAGCAAAAGGGACATCCTTGAACGAGGCTACCATAAGGCCCAGGACACTCATGAAGAATCTCACAGAGGGATGTCTTTTTGATCATAAGGTCTGAGCAGGGTATCCTAAAGAGGCAAGTTTGTTTACCGGAAAGAAAACATTTGCCTAGTCTAGCATGCCTGGTCTCATTCTATGTTTATAATGAGACCCAAGTATTTTATATAAAAGGAAGGCTGGAGAGCAGACTTTTTGCATAGTTTGGTTGAAAAAAAAAAGACACAAGTCCATCCAGTTCATCCTACAGAAGGTGGGGTGAAGGTTGATTACCCAGCTGAAGACCTGAATAATCTATATAGGTGATTGGATGTTTGTAGATAGTTTTGATAGAGATGAATGCCTCAGAAAATCATCTAGATACCCTATGAGCTAAAGGCCCTAAATTATTAGGAGGAGGAGTAGAGATGCAAGCACTTTTGTGAATACTCTAGAAGCTGAATGGCAGCATCACAAATTGAAAGGGTTTGTCTACAACTGCAAAGCACAGAAAGTGTTGATGAGCTGGGTAAATGGGAATGTGTAGGTAGGAATCACGAATGTCTATTGATGTGAAATATTCTCCTTGTACTGACCTTGGGGTTTCCATGCAAAACTTTGGAATATACAAAGTTATTTCTTTAGGGACACTGACCTTGGGGTTTCATGCAAAACTTTGAAACACAAAAGGTATTTCTTTAGAGATTTTAGGTTCACAACAGGACAAATAACCCAATAGGATTTCGGTACCATAAACAGGTTTAGATATAATCTTTTAAACCTGGCCTCTAGAGGGAACAAAATGACCACTCCCTTGGACAAGACAAGGTTCTGGGCAGTCTGCAAATCTGACTTTTGGCTGGTTTGAGAGCACAAAATGATGAGGGGGTAGAGTTTGAAACTCTATTTTGTACCCTTTATAAAACAACTAATTGAACCCAAAGGTCTGGGACGTGTTTGACCCAAAGGGATGCAAACTGCAACAGACATCCCCCCACTCTTAAGAGTGAGGGAGTCCCTTCATTATGAAAAAGGCTTTGGTGCAGACTTAGTGGACTATGTGTTCCAAGTCTTGCGCCAAAAGAAGGGCTGAATTCTAGCTTTGAAGATTACGTGCTCCTCATTTAGAGAAGGTAAACATAGCCAAGCAAAGGTGTTTTAGAGCCTTCCATTGTGGAATAAGGGCCTTTCCTTCTGTGACCTTTTATGAACTTGTCAAGTGTATCACCAAAGAGACGTCTTCCTTCAAAAGACATATGCATGAGGTATGTTTTATAGGCAGCTTCATTCTGTGCACAGAGACAGAAATGAGAGTCATTCTGGAAATTTGTGTCATAACTTGTTCTGTGGCATCAACACAAAAGTGGAGCAGAAGGCAATGTTTGCTAATTGTTGCACCAGAACTCGGTCCTGGAATATAGGATCCTGTTCATTTCCCTAGTCCAATTAGCTGCCGTTTGACAAACCAAGACTGCAGGAACTGGAGTACTCTAATTGCCAAAAAAAGGCCCCTTCTATTTTTTTATGAATGAGATATATTTTCTTAGACTTTGAAGGTCTCTTAGTAACCAAAGGGGATGGCGAGATGGAGGAGACTCAAGTGTAACTATTCTTCCTGAGGCTTATGCGGACAGCAGAAGCAAGTATATCTATATGGGCAAATATTTTGTGTGAAGCCAAGGAATCATGTGCCTAAGGGTGAGGAAATTTTCACAGCCTCCTCTAGCACGAATTCCAGGTCCTCTTCATTTTGCACCATTTCTACCACTTCTAGAGTGGGTAGGTTAATTTCTGACTCAATAGAGAAGGTAGATGGGAACTATGAATATCTAACCTGTGCAATTAGGATGACTTTACCACATTTGACCATTTCCTGTTGCATGTGTGCAGTCTTAAGCTGGGAACACACAGGACAAAAATTACCCTAAACTGGTCAGTGCTGTCGGAATTGGCCAACTTTCAGCCCGTGTGTACAGCTGTGTCAGTTCTACAGAAGATGGTCTTACAACCAGCTTCTGTTGAAGGGGCTTGCTGCAAACCAACATCCAACTAGCATCCAATAAGCTCTGGCAGCCAATGATCAGTGTGTTCTGGCAAGGGGGGGGTCAGACTCTCTCACAGACTTCTATATGCACCAAAACACAGACTACTGTCTGCAGGGGGCCCAGAGGCTGCACAGTAAGTAAGCCAAAGAGCAGCAGAGCACTGTGGTTGTTGTACACATGGTAGAAACTGCAGTAGTCGCTATTATGGTTTTTTGTGGTTTTAATTCCTAATTTTAGGTTTGTATTTGTTGCCATTACGTTTTAGGCACGGAGTCACTTTTATATATTACCCCTGGGCTTTGCAGACTACCAGACCCCTGGATTAGATCTAGCAATCAGGATACATTCAATAGATAAAATAATTTGTCTATAATAAGAATGAATAACTTAGAAATGGGCTGCAATGGTACAGAAAAAACAGAGGGGAAGCTTTAAGTTGAGAGCTTTACCTTGTAATAATTGATGAGATTTAGGTACTGCAGTGTAGATATAACATCTTCCTTCTTTATACTGGTTATCTCACTAATTTCACTATAAATAGAAAAGCCCATATTAGTACACATAATTTTTTTTCTCATGGAGGTACTTTCTTAACATTACTACATTGCCTGTACACATCACTCTATGGCTTATGACTTAGTTATGTTTATCATTACATCTTACTTAATAGTGATCTGTGGTCTCTCTCCAGTCTCAGTCTTCAGTTCCATGAGGATTTCCAAGATTGTTTGAGACCAGTAGCTACGGTAAGATAGAAGACCCAAATCTGAGAGTGGCTTTTCTGGAGTGCCTGTCTTTCCCTCTACTTTAGACAATTCATAACCTGTCAGAAGTAAGGAATGCTTTAAGTACATTTCAGATGAGGACACAAGATGAAATAGAAGAAGTGTTGTAGGCTACTTACTGAATTCTATAAGCAGTTTTCCATATCCTCTTCTTTGGTAAGGTGGCAGGGTAAGTATACAAGCCACATTATAGTCCTCTGTAGACTCCTTCTCCTGGAAAGGTCAACAGAGTAGAGAGTGGTAAATGTGTGTCAATGTAACTATTATATATTATACATGAGCTTCATAGTGCAAGGGGTGACCATTAGCACCACATCCCCAAGATAAACATGTACTGTACTAAATTACCTCATAAGGGTGGGACTTTTATTGTATACATTTTCAACTACATGGTAAGAGTAATACAGTTACACTATATTACAGCTTCAAATAATATTTATACAAGAAATAAAAACAGGACAATTCCAGTGTACTTGCCATCTCACAATTTGTATTTTGCACACATTTTAAAATTCAGGTTTAATTATTCATTTTGGTTCTCAGCCAACTGTGACTACATAGGAAAGTTCTTGCAAATGCGCCCCATAACTGTATAGCATTTTTAATTCTTAGGAGGTCCACTTCATATATAACATATAGATGTGGTGACTGTGTCCCAATATAAAAATAAATACAGAGTAGCTAGTTACAGTAATCAGTGGAATCAAAACTGTACCCGCAGAATGGTGGGAACACACCACTGTGCTGGGCTGCTAGGAAGAGAAAGTAAGCTCAAGCCAATGACCCTAGGGATACTAGGAGGTCTTTACAGTGGACTGTTAGGTTCAAGACCTCCAACTAGTCCTCTCCTAAAGGGTAATTGTAACTGTATTACTTTTACCATATGGTTTGTAAACTTATATTCCGACAATTGAAAAATCTCATCCAAATTAAGGGATTTAGTACAATAACCATTTTGGTTGCCTTGAGAAAAAGCTTATAGGAATGAATGAAAAATACTTTTTACATTAGCTTCATAGAATTCTAAGGGTTACACTAAAAAAGTCAGGCACACTGAGGTCCACAACACCCGAAGGATGGAGCAAAAAGTGTGTCCAGCAAATGTCAGACGAATCACTAAACGAAAAAAATAAAACACTTGGCAGAGTAAAATGTTTTCAAATCCTTAAGAGTTGTCACTGTTCAAATGGATTCTGTACAAATGGATCCTAAAATCTTATTTTATTTTTTATCCTAGTCAATACTACTTTGCTTTTGTGCACAAAAGGTTTGAACATTAAGGCTGGTTTCACACGATTTCGGTGCACTAATGTGTTCAGTAAGGCACCCAATCATTTGAATGGGCTGCCTATGGCACCAAAAAACGGTTTATGCAATTTTTTTCAACACAGTGCACCACAATGCATGGTAGTGTGTCACTGTGGCTGCAACGCACATGCGTTGGCAAGGTGTATTGAGTTGCAATTAATGGCACCAGGGCACTCCAATGCACACAGTGTACATTTTCACACACTAGTTACATGTGAATTACTGCGAAGCAACAGGGTGAACCTGCCCATAAGATTGCTTGATAATTTGAACATTGACACCATTTTCAAAAAAGAAGGTTGAGATAACTTGAGATGGGATATTCCAGTCAATGAGTCAGATGTTCTATTCTGTTCAGGTGTGTTTGAGTTGTCCTAGCAGATCCTCCAAGGCATGGGTGTTGTTTTAGACTCCACTTACACTTGTGCACATTACAATGAAAGAGTACCAAAATGCATGGTATATATGTGTGCCGCCACTCATTCTGAAAGGCAACTAAGACACCTACACAATGTAAAAAATGTGTCCGCACCTCACAACAACAAAAAACAAATGTGAAAGCACTGTACCTTGCGGTAGGTAAGTGACATTACCCAAAAAGCCTACAGATGTTTTTTTTTTTTATGTGTATTGAGACTTGTTAAGGTCCCATTCATAGTGAACTGGCTGCCTTATCACAATGCGTGTCAATGTTTGAGCTTTAGGCTCGAACACTGAAAAGGGTTGCAAAAATGCCTGAAGACTCGGGCAGGCCATACATAATTTTCTTTTTTCATTGTACCAGCAAAACACTCCTGCTATGGCATTGTATTTTGACATTGGGGAGATTTCCCCATAGACAGAATACAATAATCAGTGATGCAAGCTGTAGCCGGCGGTACTGAAAGTACGGGAAAAACTCAACAGGCTGGTTGTACACAAGTTGATCAATAGACTGACTTGTGAACAACGAGCCAGCCCATACATTCATCAAAATTTTGAACCCATGCATGGCCGGTTTTGGGCTCCAGTTGAGAAAATTGGTGTTAATGAATGTAACATTAGAAAAACACTGGAAATTGTTGGTGTTCATGAAAAGATGTCACAGCAGAAACCATTGATACTAAACGAGTACATGTACAATTTAAAGCACAACAACGGCAGAACCCCCCAAACTGGATTTTCAATTTTTGACTTTGCATGGATTGGGTGGTAGTTACAACCTATGAGACAGGAAGGGAAACATTTATCCAAAAGAACAACATCACTTCCTTACTTTTTATCCAAAAGCAAAACAACCCGACACTATCGGAAGAGGTAACAGACTTGGTCAACTTGTGCTGGTTTAATAGTTTTATTGTTGTATATGTGTTCATATGGTGTGCAAAAATTTTGCCTCTCTTTTCTTTTTGGAAAGTTGCTGTATATTTTATATGCAATGCCAATTGAAAAGCAAAGGCAAGAATACTGTTGATTGTTTCTGGAACTATAACAGCACTGTCCGTATGCCTATGGTCTGGGACGTATTTGTTACTTACTGATTGCTTATTTATCACTGTAATGACCAATGTTATTTGATTTGTTTGTAGTTTGTCATGCACAATTTGTGCGTTCATTTGTTAAAAAAAAAAAAATATGTTAAAAAAACCTAATAAAGTCTGATTAAAAACAAAAAAAACAAAAAACAAAAACGGACTAAGCTCCTTTGGCGCTACTTCTCCTGTGTGTCACAGGAGTGCATTTAGTTCTGCACTCCTGTGGTGTGTATTCAGGCCAAAGTCCACTGTCGGCTGACATCAGTTGGTCCAGACTCTGGAGGGATCCCAACTTTAATGTTGGGACCCACCCAGATGAGTGATCAGCAGCTGGCTCAGCCTCTCAGGGTGCTGCTTAGAGCCTGAGTCAGCCACTCCCACCTCCTCCACAGCCAAGGGTTCCAGTGAGTGCTGGAGGGGCACTAGTTTCTTCTGTAATTGTTGAGGCAGTTTTCCCCAGCTGATACATTACATTCCATCCCTGGAGTGCAAGCCAGCTTCTGGTCTCGGGGTGGCAGCAGCCATTTTAACCATAAGCACTGTATGTGCCGGTCCTTAGGCACATATACATGTAAGTGCAGTGTAATTGTAAGGTTTCATATGGTTTAGTAAAGTCATCTGCCTTGTGCAAAGAACCTTATGCCCGATACTGCTTTTTAAATGGCATTGGAATGTATTGGAAGGAATCACATCCTGGTATATGTGAATGGTCAAGTTGCTGATAAATACACAGTAGGTCCAACCAAAAAAAAGCGCAAAGAGACCTACTATCTAGTAATGGAAGGTCAATCCATTGTGGTGAGTGTTAATCGAGGGGGGGTGTCACCTGGAGCACCTGAAAGCGGTCATGTGTTCATCTGTTACTAATGGCACCAGTACCTGTCCCCCCCTTTTTTTTTAAGCAACTACTATTTATATGGGACTTATTGATACATTGGACATTCATTGTATTTTCTGGTGTTGTTCATTTTTTTTTTTATCTTATCTTTGCACTTTTACATGAGGCAAACGGTTTAGTAATCTTGATTCACATTTTTGGCAGCACAGTCTATATACACATTTATAGAGTAACTACAAATATTACAGCATCTGAATATATTTACAGCTGACAAGAACACCAACCTTAGAGAAGTAGCCAACAATATGGAAGCCTTTTGAGTCATATTCAGTCATAATATAAAAGAGGAAGGGATCTGTGTCATAATATAATGTTTTGTGGTCCAAGAAGCATTTCGCCAAAAGGCACAAATTCTGAGAATAACTCTGGAAATAAAGCATAAAAGGTAACGGTACATTAGATTTAGAAAGGAGGCAATAGTATATTTCACAGAAAAGTGACATCCAGAATCAAAACCCATTTTCCCAGTGATTTCAAATATACAGACGTGGGTTGGGAGAACTGCATAATCCTGCAAGTGGGGAGAAAGGGGTGGTTTGGAAATGGAGGCTGTGTATGCCAACCATGCTTCATGTTACGCCCTAAACATGGGTGTAACATTTTCATGGTCTGAAATGTGGGGTTAGCTTTTAACCACTTGCTTCCCAAGCCTGAGACTTCTCAAATAAACATCAACTTTTTTTCCCTAGACAATTACTTAGAACCCCCAAACATAAAATATATTTTTTAGGCAGAGGCCCTAGAAAATAGAATGGTGTGTTTTTTGGGGTTTTTTTTTTTGGAAAAAATATACTTTAAATGAATTTTAATGCAAAAAAACCCAACAGAATACCCAATTGTTTGGTAAAATGTAAAGGATGTTATACCGAGTAAATAGATACCCAACATGCCATGCTTTAAAATTGACCATGCTCGTGGAATGGCATCAAACTATACTATTTAAAAATCTTCATAGACGTGCTTTAAAAACCTTTACCGGTTACCAGTTTAGAGTTACATGGAGGTTCTGGAGGTAGAATTATTGCTTTGGCTATAACATTTATGGTGATACCTCACGTGTGTGGTGCGAACAACGTTTACATATGTGAGTGCGACTAACATATACATTTGTCTTTGTGCGAGAGCACGGGAGGACATGGGCATGTTAACTTCCATTTTCTTAGACTATAGAGATGATTGGGGACATTCCGGTCCTTGGTCATCTCTATGGTAAGCCAGTGGAACTGCCTGATTCTGTCCCAGGGCCTCCTCTGCCGTCCGTAAAAGTGATCCAGCTTAGCCGCTTGGATTGCTTTCACTTTATTTAGCATTGCCCACTGAAAAAAAAAGATATTGGGTCAGGACTACAGCTGCAGCTATGGCCCCAGCATAACAACTGAATCTCAAGGACATACAGGTATGTGTATTTGAGGAGAGTAGCTAAAGTGTATTTCCACTTTTGCAGCCATATTGGCATAACACCTACTTTGTCACATGTTCTCAAGCACACAGCATAACTTAAAACCTATTTTAAAAATGCTTCTTCCCTTTTACATGCTTAAAATAGCTACCTAGCTTTACTCTTCCGTGTAATGTTAAGAAGGGGGATAGGAGTTAAGTTTACCATAATTAACCCTTTTTGTATGGTGCTGGCAGTTGTAACCAAAATCTGAAAATGGTCTATCCTAGAAAACGGTATAAAGATCTCAAGGCTTGGGCAGTGCATTTAATGTATTTTTCCTCAGTGTGTTGACACCTCTAATTACACTTTGAAATTGTTCACAATAGCTAGCAGTCCTATGTACAGACTTGTTACAAAGTAACAACTAGAAAAGTAAAAAAAAAAATGTTTTTTAAATTATTTTTAAGTGTGCTGTGTGAATGGAAACACAAAACATACAGTGGGGTGCCTCTCTTCCTGAGGCAGAGCTAAACAATAACTTCGCCTGGCCCACTGCCCACTTAGAATATCTTAGGATCCGTCTTACCAAATCCTACCACACCCTCTATGAAGCCAATTAATCCCAACCTTCCGTTCCCTTAAACCCTTACTCATGCCTTGGTTTTGCCAAACCCTCTTGTGGATTGGCAGAATCAAGGCGGTTGTAATTGTCTCTTTTAAAATCAACATTCTTCAATAAAAAAATTAATGAAAGGATAAAACATACACCAGGGAAATTAATTATTTTATCCCCTGCAGATTTTGTAAGTTTGCCCACTTTCAAAGAAATGAAGGGTCTATAATTTTTCTCATAGGTGTATTTTAAATGATAGTGGCAGAATATCAACCAAAAATCCATAAAAAACACATGATACAAGAGCTATAAATTGAGCTGCAGTTCAGTGAGTAAAATAAGTATTTGATCCCCAAGAAAAACATGACTTTGTACTTGGTGCAGAAACCCATTAGCAAGCACAAAATTAAAATGTTTCTTGTAGTTGGCTACCAGGTTTGCACACATCTCAGGAGGGATTTTGGTCCACTCTTTACAGATCTTCTCTAAATCCTTAAGGTTTCTTGACTGTCGCTTGGCAACTCGAAGTTTCAGATCCCTCCATAAATTTTCTATAGGATTAAGGAAGGGAGATTGGCTCCATTACCTTAATGTGCTTCTTCTTGAGCCACTCTATTGTTGCTTTGGCGGTATGTTTTGGGTCATGGTCATGCTGGAATACCCATCCACGACCCATCTTCAGTGTTCTTGCTGAGGGAAGAAGGTTTTCAACCAAGAATTTACAATACATGGGGCCATCCATTGGCCCCTCAATGCGGCAAAGTCGGCCTGTACCTGTAGCAGTGAAACAGCCCCAAAGTATACTGTTTCCACCTCCGAGCTTGACTGTAGGGATGGTGATCTTAGGGTCATAGTCAGCATTTTTCTTCTTCCAAACACGGCGAGTTGAGTTAATGGCAAAGAGTTAAATTTTGGTCTCATCTGACCACAGCACTTTCTCCCAATCTTTCTCTGAATCATTAGATGATCATTGGCAAACTTTAGATGGGCCTGTACATGTGCCTTCTTGAGGAGGGGACCTTGCGGGTGTTGAAGGATTTCAATCCATGGTGGCATATTGTGTTACCAATGGTTTGTTTGGTGACATTGGTCCCAATGCCTTGAGATCATTCACAAGCTCCTTCCATGTAGTTCTGGGCTAATCCCTCACTTTTCTCACAATCACCCTTACCCCTTGAGGCAAAATCTTGCATGGAGCTCCAGACCGAGGACCATTGATGGTTATTTTGTATTTCTTCCATTTGCGAACAATCACTCCAACAGTTGTCTCCTTCTCACAAAGCTTCTTGCTGATGGTTTTGTATCCCATTCTAGCCTTGTGCAGGTCTACAATATTGTCCCTGATGTCCTTTGATAGCTCTTTGGTCATTTGCCTATGATGGTGAGGTTTGAATGGAAGAAAGATTCTGTGAACAGGTGTCTTTTATACACATAAGTTGTCGTTAGGAGCACCTTCTTAAATTCACAGGACTAATCTGTGTACCACTGAACTGAACAGTTACTCACTGAACTGCAAATCAATTTATAACATTTGTATCATGTGTTTTTTTTCTGGATTTGTGGTTGATATTCTGTCTATCATCTAAAATACACCGATGATAAAAATTATAGACCCTTTATTTCTTTATAAGTGGGCAAACTTACAAAATCTGTAGAGGATCAAATAATTATTTATATGGTCGCCTTAGTAGTCCATGACCCTTTATTGCAGGTTATAGCAGGGATATAAAAATATCCCAAGTGTTTCCGGGGCTGACAATCCCCCTTCATCAAGGCTTAAAATGTTCTTGTAGGACTCTGATCTAAAAAAAACCCTGGGTAGTGATCTATAATCAGTTGTAATGGATGTGTGTCTATCACAGCTGACATAGATCAATACCCAGAATTTTTAGGTCATATTAAAAATTAACAAGTCTGGTGTAGTGGGCACTCCTAGACAGACTGCATTCGCATGAAGTACCGCCAAGATATCATGTGGAGCATCCATGACTGAAAGAACTGAAATTCAATACCCAACTTGATGCAGCTTCTAATGCACAATGTAAGAAACTTACAGTTTGCAATGAAATTAGAGGAAGCATTTTAAGTAGAGGAGAGAAGCCTGTACAACTGTGCTAGACTAAAGGTGATGCTATAGCACATCTTTAAATAGGGAAATTAAATCATGGGCTATCCTATGTGACATTGCTTAGGTACATCTCAGATAGCTCCAGGTGAACAAGATCAGGTTAGTGTCAAGAGTGAATTTGCTAAGGAAATTCTTGTAGTTTGGCTTACTTAGTTAGGTACATATATATTTGGACACAGGCAAAATGGCACTAAGAGTAGCCATCCCCCCTTTTTCAAGGGACCAAAAGAAATTGGACAATTAAATCAAAAGCTGTTTCATGGCCAGGTGTGGGCCTTTGTTATTTCATCAATTAAGCACATAAAAGGTCTGGAGTTGATTCTAAGTGTGGTATTTGCATTTGGAATCTATTGCTGTGAACCTACATCATGCGTTCAAAGGAGCTGTCCATGCAAGTGAAACAGGCCATTGTAAGGCTTAAAAAATGAAACTAATCCATCAGAGAGATAGCAGCAACATTAGGAGTGGCCAAATCAACAGTTTGGTACATTCTGAGGAAAGAAGAATGCACTGGTGAGCTCAGCAACATAAAAAAGGCATGGACATCCATGCAAACCCAACAGTGGAGGATGATCTCAGAATCCTCTCCATGGTAAAGAAAAACCCATTCACAATACCCAGACAGGTGAAGGACACTCTCCAGGAAGTGGGTGTATCATTGTCAAAGTCTACAAACAAGAGAAGACTTCACGAGAGCAAGTACAGAGGGTTCAACCACAAGGTGCAAACCACTCATAAGCCTGAAGAATAGAAAATCCAGATTAGACTTTTCCAGAACTGGTCTGGCTTTTTTAGATGTTTTTTGGCAAAGTATTCTTTGGATGGATGAAACGAAGATTAATCTTTACCAGAATGACGGGAAGAAAAAAAGTGTGGAGAAGGCATGGAACAGCTCATGATCCAAAGCACACAACGTCATCTGTAAAACATGGTGGAGGCAGTGTGATAGGCATCCATGGCTTTCAGTGGCACTGGGTCATTGGTGTTTATTGATGATGTGACCGAAGACAGAAGCAGCCAGATGAATTCTGCTGTATTTAGAGATAACCGTCAGCCCAGATTCAGCCAAACGCAGCAAAGTTGATTGGACGGTTCTTCACAGTACAGATGGACAATGATCCAAAACACACTGCAAAAGCAACCCAGGAGCTTTTGAAGGAAAAGAAGACATTTCACTTGCTGAAGGCAAAACTAAAGGCAGAAAGACCCACAAACAAAGAACTGAAGACAGCTGCAGTTAAAGCATCAGAAAGGAGGAAACCCAGTCTTTGGTAATTTCCATGGGTTCCAAACTTCAGGCAGTCATTTCTAGTAAAGGATACTCAACATAATATTAAAAATTAACATTTTATTTATGATTATATTCATTTTTCCAATTACATTGGAGCCCCTGAAAATATAGGGACTGTGTATAAAAATAGTTTAAGTTCCTAAAAATTGTACTTGATATTTATGTTCAACCCCTTGAATTAAAGCTGAAAGTCTGCACTTCAAACTCATTTGGATTGTTTCGTTTTAATTTATTCTAGTGGCATACAGAGCCAAACGTATGAAAATTGTGCCTGTGTTCAAATATATATGGACGTAACTGTATGTTTTCCTGCCAAATTACTAAATACCTAGTCAGCTGATCCTAGATTTACATAAGAAAAATACACTTGTACTTACCTTATTTTTACGTCCATCTATCTCAAAGAAGGAGATGGTCCCTTTCCTGTAAATTTCATTCCCTGGTGGATGTCTCAGGTTACATTTAGTCTTTGAAGGACAAAAGAAAATATCAGCATTAGGACAATTACTAAATTTATATTGTATTTGTATTGTCCACATCAACCAAAGCGATTAAAAAGAACTTATGTTATTCTTTTAGGTTGTATATGCTTTTAAAATGTACATACAGAAATCTCCCTAAAGTGGAAGAAATGTCCATCATAGGTAGTTGTCATTGGAACATTTGCCATTACGTACAACTTAACGCAAAACTATACTCACTTTAGTTCCAGTGACGTGGTGTCTTGGAACTCCCTGCTGGAAGTGGACATCTTCTAGCGGACGGCCTCCAGATTTTAGTTGCCAGCCGCTTTTTGTCCAGGCCAAAGCAGCATCACTCTTGCGCATGCAGAGGATTACAGTCAGGCTTCGGCATTGCTTAATTTCAATTGGGGGGGGTGAATGCTGAACATGTTACATATTACACCCTAAATATGGGTGTAACATGTTCAGAAAGGTGAACTTAGCCTTTGACATGCATCATCACTCATTTTTAACATGTGCTGAATATCAACAGATACCGTAATGCAAGTCAGTACACAATGGGGCATGTGTTAATGCTCACTGTAAGGCAATGATGAGTTTTATGATTTATGTTGACATGTTCATATAAAACTTTGAAGAGTTTCCATTTATATCGATGGAAGATGCATTGAAATGACTGTAAGGCTTTACTTTTTTTCAATAATAATAAACGTCATATTTTCCTTCTCTGTGCAGTGGTTTTGCACAGAACAGCCTCGATCGCCCTCTTCTGGGGTCCCCTGCCGGTGTTCCTTGCTTCTCTCCACTCACCCCCCCTCACCGAGTGCCTCAATAGGAAGATGCTTCCTAAGGGGATACTCAAGCATGTTCGATCCCCAGCCAGGCTGTTTGAGTCTATTCAGACACACAGCCCAGCTCGGCCAACCCCCCCTCCCCCCGCTGTCAGGTTTTGACTGACAGCAGCAAGAACCAATAGCTCCCACTACTCTAAGCAAAGCCCGTGAGACAGGGGAGAGGGGAGAAGAGCTGCTGTAGATGTGCACAACCTTGAATCGAGATCGGGCTCAGGTGAGTATTTAGGGGGCAAGCAAATAACATTTTTTTTTTTAATGCAGAGAATGCATTTAAAAAAAAAAAAAAAAAAAAAAAAAAAAAAACCTTTTACCTTTACAACCACTTATAAGACTGCAGGAGAAGCCTGCCCTCAGGCCCTCTCTCTGAATTAAACTGAAGCAGAGATACAAAGATATGTGTCACTGTTTTGATTGAATCCATTTTCTGTGTAAATTAGTCTCATTTTTGAGGCATGTAAATAACAGACTTTCAGCAAAGCAGATAAGATGGTCCTTAAAAAGTAAAAATGAGCATAGTGCTGCACCTGCTGGCCATGTGAAAAAATATTTTAGCCCTGTACATAATATAGAAGACATATACACAATCACAATGTCTTTTAAAAAAATAAGCAAATATGTACTTGGTTGCTAGCGGTAGCAAACCTTTTGTTCATTACAGCTAGTGAGATTAATTGTTTTAACTTACCAGGTGTCTCTGCAGACACTTAAGACTCTTGACATACTTGAGGCAAAATTCACATAGGTAAAGGACAGGTAGCACAGTCAGCTCTTGGGGGTATGGGGAAAAGTACCAAGGCTTGAGGCGGTGACGTCCTAGCTCAATACATTCAATGTTCTTCATGCGAGTTATAATGTCATCATGACTACGGTCAGACACCAAGCTTCCCGTCATGCGTGGGGCAGAAGGGATTCCATCTGAGCTGTCCTGGGAGTCCTAAAATATAGAAGATTATGTTAACCTAGCCCTCAAACAAATCAACTTGCATATAATACATTGATAAAATAAATAACAGTTGGGCAGACACTTAATTTATCATTACATGTTTGTCCTAACAATAAATCCAAATGAAGTTTAAATAATATGCAGCATTGTGTTACAATATTAACAAGTTATTTCCCACCACCAAAGTGATGTGATCAATTTATATTCCCTTGTAATACACAAGTTCACAAAAAAAAAACATCCCCAATTCTCTTTCAATATATAAATCTTCCAAAAAGTGCTCAGTCAGTGCACCATGCCTCCTCGTCTCATCAGAAAGACATTAACTAAAAAGCCATGCCTTTCTTGTCAATAATGTTGATGATTTTCTCCAGAAGACTCCTTTCTCCCAGGGATGTGCTCTCTCCCTTCCTCACATAATCCCCAGAGCAAGCAAGAGATACAAAAACGTTGATAGTATAATCCCATAAAAGAAAAGTCCATCGGCTTTTTTAAAGCTGACAGCTCTACCCCCTGTATTTTATGTGAATATTAGGAGAAGATTTGATTTATTTTATTAATAGAATTTTTAATTTTATGGGATTACAATATTGGCTTTTTTGTATCTCTTGCTTGCTTTGGGGCTCCGGCTGAAAAGCTCCCTATGTGTTAGCATATTGCAGGTGACAGGTTCTCTTTAAGGAGACACCTTGGGTTTATTAGACCTTTAATGTGAACTCTGTTGAAGCAGATCCAGCACAGATTGTGCTCAGCTTCTTTGACCGGTTTGACCGCTCTGCACCCAGAAGGGCCTCACATCTTAGTACTTCCAGGTTTATTCAATGAGGAGGTCAGAGAATGGATTTTCTACTGCAGCTCCAGTGAGCAGTGACATATAAACAGCAGCTTTGGAAACCAGGGTACAAATCTAGCTACACCGCAGTAATTGCACATAGAGTGTAGCTGTAGGTAGTTTTTCCACCAAGAATCACAGATTCTCACCAATGGACAGCCATCTGAACATTTGGCCCTAATGCACACTTGGCATTTTTACAGCTGCGGTTTTTGACTTTTGGTGTTTTTTCCTACAGCCAGTAAACTCCCTAAAATGTTATCCTATGTGTCCATGCATACATAGGCTTTAACCACTTGCCTACCGGCACTTATACCCCCTTCCTGCCCAGGTCAATTTTCAGCTTTATGCGCTGTCGCACTTTGAATGACAATTGCGCGATCATGCAACACTGTACCCATATGAAATTTTTATAATTATTTTTTTTCACACAAATAGAGCTTTCTTTTGGTGGTATTTAATTGCCGCTGCAGGTTTTATTTTTTGCGCTATAAAGAAGAAAAAAAAGAGCAAAAAATCTGAAAAAAAAAAGTTGATAGGTGGCACTGATGCTGCTGCACTGATATGCAACAATGATGGGCACTGATAGGCAGCACTGATGGGTGGCACTGCTGGGCACTTATTAGGGCACTGATTATCAGTGCCCTGATGATCGTTGCTGATCCATCCTCTGACAATTACCGGTTATCGGCAGTACTTTCCTCATGCTGTGACAGCGTGAGGAACGTGCAGCCGATAACCGGCAACTGCATTTACCGGAGATCTGCTGCGTCATTGGACACAGCTGATCACGTGGTAAAAGGCCGCTGTGATTAGTCTTTTACCACATCACATGATCAGCTGTGTCCGTAGGACACAACGATCACAGAGATCGCAGGATGCGTGCCCCTGGGAGGGTGCGTTCTGGGAGGACGCCATATGATGCCCTCCCAGGACTGGACAACCGTGCTGTAGCCGTCATTTGGCTACAATGCAGTTGGCAAGTGGTTAATCAACATTTTTTGGCAGGGGAGTTTTTTGGCTGGGAAAAAAAAAAAAAAAAAAAAAGAACTAGCAGGTTTCAAAAGGAGTTTACTAGCTGTAAAAACACAAACACTGGTAAACGTAGTAAAATACGGCAAACTAACGTTTTTGAACTGAATTTTTTTTTGTGTGTGTAAAAAAAACACGCTAAACGCTGAAAAACACAGCTAAACACGGATGCAACAATACTAAAAAAAAAAAACCAAGACTTTATACAGCCAACTTTACCGGCGTTTTAAAAAAGCCCAGTGTGCATGAGGCCCAACTCTGACAAGGCAGGAAGCTGGTGTATCAGATTTGTTGGGAAAAAAAACAAAACAACATTCCCCTCCAGATTCCTACCTTTTGTTGTTCTGAATAAATAGCTGTTTGTCTGTGTCCATGTGCATGAAAGCGAATGTCAGTGATTTTATAATTAGCAATCAGCTACTGCACTTGTATTATTCTAAGGAATGTTGCAGAGTCTGCATCCCTTTAGAAGTGTGATTTTCTTCTGGGAGTATTTCACAAAGAATGACGTTTTTGTCGCAGGGAATGCCCACAATTTGATTTGACTTGTATCTGTGCAGACTTCTGGGAAAATCAGTGAGCCAATCACACAAAAAGGAAATTAAATTTCTGGGGATGTGGACACATTCTGTACACTGCGTACAGAATGCCTCCAGGTTGCCATATTGTATTTTAAAGATATTACAGTGCTGCAGATTGGAAAGGAGAGGTCATTTTTAATAACATTCAATTACAATATGACTTGTGTTGCAACTGTATATACTATATTTTTTTTATTTGCCTTTTATCCCCTGAAAATAGCGTTACCCTTAGATGTAAACAAATCAAATATCGCAAAACTTTTGCACCTCGTAATCATATCTTTTCTCATGTGCTAATGGTATAAGTCAAACTGTAATTCATTTTTGTTTAAGGCCTGTCTCTAAAGTCATTAGTCACCAGTAAATCACAGGATTACTCAATAGGCCAAAAAAAAATCAAAAGTTATTACCTCATCGATCATTACCTCATCGGCACTCAGACAATTCGATTTCCTTTTTCGACCAGGAGGTACAGCAGGGGCACTCGGCCTTCGTGCTGCCCCATTCTATAAGGTAGAAACAGAAGAGTCAGCAGCCACTTTATAAAAGTTTCAGTGGTGTACAAGTATATCGACATGAGTACATTTAAAAAAAAAAATGTAAAAATTAAAAAAAAAAAAAAGTACGTCGCCCGCCCTGTAGCTGCCACCCACTTGCAGTAAAAATTTATGTGGGAAGACATCAAGTGGTTAAAATCGAAAACAACTTAGCTGGTTAAAAAAAAATTCTTGTCTTAGAATCCTTTTATGTTGGAAATATAAATGTTGTTTATATTTAGCAACAGCTTAAGCTGTTTAAATACAATGTCAAGGTATTTTAAAGACACCTTTCAAATGTTATATTTTTAATTTCTTGATCCTTCAAGGAAGGCAAGCAGCAAAACACATTTTTTTTTTTTTACCTTAAAGCAAGGAATACATTAAGGTAAAAAAAAAAAAACCCTTTACCTTTAGAATCACTTTAATTATGCAGTCCAGTTTTGGTCAACAATCCTGGAGAAAGATATCTATGAACTGGAGGAAAGGGCAGAAAAGGAAAAATAACGCTAAAAGGGGCTGGAGGACCTCAGTTATGAGGGAAATTGCAAACCTTAAATATATTCTCCCTGGAGATGACGCGCTTAAGAGGGGATATGATCACAATATACAAATCTTTAAATAGTGACTCTAGCATCGGGAGAAAACTATTTAATCCTAATCTAGGTCTCTAAAGAAGACACACGGTCACACGATGAAGTTGGACTAAAAGTGAATTCAATTTTAAAATGCATGAAGGGTTCTTTACTGTTAGAGTGGTAAGGGTGTGGCACTCCCTTCTCCCTTTATCCCTGGATAAAGTTAAAGACTTTTAGATTTGTTTCTTGGGGAACACAAAGTGCAAGGATATTGGTAGGGCCACTAAAACACACACAAGCACTCAGGTTAAACTGGATGGATCAGTATCCTCATTTAACCTTACCAAGAGTGTAAGTGAAAAACAGGAGTTTGAACCCATGATTATTCACTTCCAAAAGTGATCTATACTCCTAAAAATGTTTGAAAACAATCATATTTTTAGAAAGGAAATATTTTACAAAAAGACATGTGCGGATATTAGTGGAATTACTGTTCATGCAGGTGGGAGTTTGGGAGGGGCTAAAGGAACATACTTAAAGGCTTGTTTACACTTGCTTTAAAATGTGTTGTGTTTGCTTTGCTTCACAAATTATACTCTATGTGGCTTTCTTTTTGCTTCAAAGTGTCTCCAAAGCTTCTATAGAAGTCTATGACAAAGCTCGCTAACAGCATCTGGAGCTTTTGAGAGGCTTTTATTCAGCTGTAGTGTCGCTTTGTTTTGGAGGTATTGCAGATGAGATATCCCTGGATGCACTGGGAAACCAACAGGTGAACTGGAAAACGTCATCAGCAGTCACTTCCGGTTCATGTGTATATGTTCTGTAAAGTGTCTGGGGCAGACGGCACATTTGGTGTGCAGCAAGGAGCAGCAGGAAGGTCAGCAGGGTTCAGATTGGAGCAGAGCAACTAGCAGACAGCACACAAGGTGTGCAACATGGGAACGCTATAGCAGATGGTAAGCAGGGACTGGAGAGAAAGGACTGAGCGGCACAGGATCATCAGAGCTGGGGACCAGAACGGGACAAACTAGCAATGTCACACGTGCTGCGCAGCGTGGGAGCAATATAGCGGGATGTGAGAGGGGACCAGAGAGAGGAAGAACAGCAAACCAGATGATCAACAGAGCTGGTGGTTAGTACTGAGTGGGGGATCAGTAGAGCTGGAGGTTAGTACTGAGCGAGGGATCAGCAGATCTGGGAGCTACTACTCAGTGGGGGATCAGCACAGCTGGAGGTTACTACTGAGCAGAGGATCGGCAGAGCTGAAAGTTACTACTGAGCAGAGGATCAGTACAGCTGGAGGTTACTACTGAGCGGGGGATCAGCAGAGCTAGGAGTTACTACTCAGTGGGGGATAAGCAGAGCTGGGGGTTACTACTGAGCGGGGGATCAGCAGAGCTGGGGGTTACTACTGAGCGGGGGGGATCAGCAAAGCTGGGAGTTACTACTCAGTGGGGGTTCAGCAGAGCAGAGAGTTACTACTCAGTGGGGGTTCAGCAGAGCAGAGAGTTACTACTCAGTGGGGGTTCAGCAGAGCAGAGAGTTACTACTCAGTGGGGGTTCAGCAGAGCAGAGTTACTACTCAGTGAGGGTTCAGCAGAGCAGAGTTACTACTCAGTGGGGAATCTGCAGAGCAGAGAGTTACTACTGAGCGGGGGGATCAGAGGAGCTGGGGGTTACTACTGAGCAGGGTATCAGAGGAGCTGGGGGTTGCTACTGAGAAGGGATCAGAGAAGCCGGGGGTTACTACTGAGCAGAGGCTATTACGTTTTCAACAGCATGGTATTTAATTGCTATAAGACCAAGGTACATTAAGGCCTAGTTAACAATAGCATTGAAATTAGGCATTTTAGGGGTATTTTTAACTCTCCTCAAACACCTATACAGTTGATAATATGGACAGCGCACAGTGCTGTTCACATTACCAAAACATGAAGCATTAGTGTTGCTTTTTTCTTTTTATATAACACTAAATACGGTGTTGATAAGTATGTCGACTCTGCTATGTAAAAAAAAAAAAAAAAAAAAGAAAAAAAAAAAAAACTGGGGAATACAGACTAACGCCCCATACACATGATCATAAAATCAGATGACAAAAATCGCTTTTAGAGGGATCGTACGATAATCTGATCGTTAGTACACAGCTTTCAACAGCTGATCACAATGGTTTATGCAACAATATCCGAAGGAACAAGCACAAAAATTTTTCTTGCACAATAACAGCGCAAATGATTTTTGTTTAATCAGTACAGTATTCGTCCGGAAAAAAAAAAATAATAAAAAAAATCGAGAGACCAAGACCACGCATGCTCAGAAACAAAAGAATACATTACAATACAATACATCACTTCCGAAGTTGTATTCTGTCGTACGAGAATTTTCGTAACCTTAGTAACCTCTTCATTTTCGATATGAGCCTAGCATGCAACAAAAAATGAACAATAAGTTATCCGATTATCTGATCGTGTGTAATAGGCATTAAACAAAATCAGTGTTTCATATAACGCTTATATAACTTCCAATAATTATGGTAAATAACAGCTGTGCACTCTTTCAGAACATAGGCAATTTGTGTGTGTGTCATGAAGTGTGAATGTGGACCCCAGAAGAGGAGGTTCAGATCTGCTCTGTGCAAAACCATTACACAGAGCAGGTAAGTATGACATATGTGTTATTTTTTTTACAAATCCAACATTTACAATCACTTTAAGGGCTCTGTCTGTGCAGGGAAGATCAGCATCTAAACCCAGAGAAACTGGAGGCTGATGGATTGGAGAAACTATAAGGCATTAAAATTAAATTTAAGGTTAAGTTTACTAGTATTGTGCATTAGATTTTAAAATGATATCCATGCAAAAAAGTCTCAGCCTTTAGTACTACTTTAATATAAAAGATTTATATCCCCCCTCCACCTTTCATATAGTTTAATTTCTGACTCCCAGTAAAAATACCCTGAGAGAAAAAAATACCAGAGAGAAGCAACTAAAAGTGAAACGTACATGTAACAATATTTAAGAAACAGGGAACATATTCTATCCATCCAGTCTGCTTCAAAATAGGATGCCATAAAGCAAGTAGGATGGAAGGTGTTATAAGTAGTGTGTCACAGAGGTCTCAGCAAGAGTCTCTGTTAGTAGGCTTTAGCTGGTATAGATCGTATCTTAGAAAAAAAAAAAAAAAAAAAAAACGCAAATAAAAAAAAAAAAAAAAAAAAAAAAAAGGAGGGAGAACGAAAAGGGAAATGCTACTTCAAGGTAGAAAGAGTTGGATAAACGTTTGCAACCCCAGGAGGACAGAGGACCGCACATGTAATAAGCTCTTGTCCTCAAGAGGACAAGCAGGAAAAAAATTAGGAAGAACTGGATATATTTTTATATATATATATATATATATATATATATATATATATATATATATATTTATTATTTTACTTTCACTGTTTCACAGTATAAATTAAGCCCTTTTAGTAGTGATTATCTGCTTTTTTTGTACTATAAAGGCCAATTTTTAAAAAATTATTTTTAACGCCATCATGTCAGCTGCTACTAAATATGTTAGAGACAGCAGGCACAGGGAGCTTGTATCAAACTACCTGCTTAAGACAAGTCAGTTTGTCATACATAATATCATATTACAATCATGTCTAGAAATCTGCAAGACAGCATATTTTTTTAATTTTTTTTTTTCTTTAAATAAAGATTTTAATCTCTGAGACTGATATGTACCAGATTCAACCTCTAATATATATATATATATATATATATATATATATATATATATATATATATATATATATATAATAAAATAAATAAATAACTATACACACACACACATAATATATATATATATATATATATATATATATATATATATATATACACACACACACAACATATATATACACACACATATATACATACACATATACATATATACACACACACACACACACACACACACACACACACACACACACACACACACACACAATATGCTATTGTCAGAGTGGACAAGGTATTTTGTTCCCCAACCATATAGCTGGTTATTTTTTTTTTTACATATTAAATTATACTCGACAATTTTTTTTAAGTTTTTATCTGGTTCATTAAAACAATAAAATCGACCAACTAATCGATTCTGAAAATCATTAGTTGCAACACTAGATGTGTGCCATAAAATACATGCTATGTTTGTGGTCAGTATTTGTTTAAATAAACCTGATGACTTTCTGCATAAAAAATTTCTATGATAAATTGGTATATTATAATCTGGAAGCAATTCATAGAAAAAAAAAGACAACTCCTTGCTTTTTCCCCCCCCCCCCAAATTACTAGCAAACAAAATGTAAAAAAGAAGCACACACACCAACCCCAAGTGTGCAAGACAGAAAAGGTCACTTAAACTGACCTTTACAGCAGGAAAAAAAAAAAATCTGACAAGCGATTACACACAAATATTAACAAAGGCAGTGACATACAAAAAAAAACAGCTTCTTGTCGTATGTTTTACCTGCGGAAAGACTGAGGCCTGAGTGTTTTCTACCACTGGTGGAACTGGAGTGGCTGGCGATACTATTTCTACTTTCCGTTTCTGATGGAAGAGCAAAGTAACTTGTAAGCCATTAAAGGAAAATAAAATACAAGGAAAGTTGATCTTACAGAGAATACTGAAATCAGGGAAACAGATATGAATGGAAGTATGGGAGACGATATCTTACTGGAACAGGGAGAGATTTTCCTCCTCCCGCAGGGGCTGCAACTGGAGGTAGAATGAGTTCAGGAATCTTCCTCTGTGGAAAAGGAATGACACAGGGTCACACTTACGGATTTTACTTTATTAACCATTGCTGCACGAAAAAAACTCTTCTTAATGTATGTCACTGTGTGACAGAGGTTCAGAAATAATCTGCCTGTGTCATTATGTTTTAAGACTGACACTTATGCACACAGTCACCACCTGCCTGAGACAGGGGTGGCAAAGCAGCCATTTAAAACCAGACACAGATGAAAAACTCAAGCTGGATTGCCAAGCATTAAATGATTTTCTAGAGCTAAAACTAAAGTTCCCCACACAGACCAGATTTAAGACTTTTCCAATAAATTATATACACAAATTCAGAATCCAGCATTAGGTCAGAAAAACTACAGTGACCCTGTAGGGACCTGACGGTCTGAATCTAAAGCACAAAGTTAGTTGCATTTAACAAGCAGCAATATCTAGTAGATAATGATTATGCTCAGTCATTTCAGCTATTAATGATCTCTTTTGTTTGATCAATATAGGCAGCGATTACTAGTGAAAGCCAGATGTCTAAATTATCAGTGGATCTACAAATATAGATATAGCTGAAGTTATACCAATATTTCAACCCTACAAAAAAAAAAAAAAAAACCCACAAAAAAAAACCACCCCCACATCTTTCACCTGTGGCTTTCGCCAAAAATGTTTTTTTTTTTTTGCACATTGCTCGATTCAGTTTGTGACTGGCTTACTTTAACTTCCTTAATTAAGAACACAATGCAAAAAAAATGCATCCCTCTCTCACAAGAATACCTTCATTTTGTAAGATGTGTGTTAGTTGTCCAAAATAATCTCTATTAGGTGGATTAAGGAAAGTTGGCATGCACTGAGCACCAGAAGCTTTTTGGACATTTCTGAATGCATTAAGTGATCATTACGCATCCTGGAAATCAGTGTGAATGTGGTGAAAGTTTGTTGTAGCTATAAAATCATATTTAAAAAAAATCTACTAAAATCTTTCATCTACAGCTATAACAATGGGATTCAGCACTCCCAGTCTAGAGGAGGGTCAATGAAACTTTAATTGTTTTCTTAATGTCTGTGAATGTGATATTCCTTTCAGCATTTACATGCAAAATGGTAACACCCGGTTGGATAAGGCCTTACAAAGAGAAGAGTTGATAATTCTAGTGTGGAAATCAACTCTACCACAAACTGATCATTTTTGGAAGCATGTTGGTAAGCTTGATGATGGCTTTAATTCTCAGGCATTCCTGCCATCAAATATCTCTACAAAAATTAGCACTTTTGGTATCCAGCTCTCCGAATGGACGCTCTTTCATTTAGACTAGGCACATTTGGAGATTCCTGATGCACATGAGTGACATCTTTGTTATGGATTGAGTTACTGAGAACTTTACCGTATATGGGCCAGCCTAGTGGTGCCCACTTACACATCAAATATACATTTTGGAACAGGTTAGTCTGATAATATAAACTAAACAAATCCCAGCGCCAATCAAAGAAAGTATACAATTATGCAGCTGTGCACCAGTGAAAACCACCAATAATAAATAACACAAAAAACAGTGCAAAAATTAAATACATAAAAATAATCACAAATAAATAAATGTCCGTGCAAAAATATATATATAATATTTCAAACATAAGTCCTTATTTTCCCAAAAGGATTTTCAAAACAATGTTCCAAAATGTGCTTCCACCTAATCACCACGTGAAAAATAATATTGACCGCACTCACCAGATGGAGGTGAGCAATAAGCCTCATAGGATATAAGGGATCCTATAGCCCCTCAGGAAGAACTCAAATCGCCTTCCCCCTGCTTAGATACAGCAATCGACTCCACTCTACTTCTCCATGGAATCCTCAATAGTGTGCAAGGAAAGAAAGGCTACATAGTGTAATACTGCCACTCAATACCATATAAATCAATAGAATAAGGACACTCACATGTTTCAATAAAATAACAGGCCTTCAAAACGCCCTGTGGGTGGGGCGAAATGCATTGATGCACTTCTGGTCTGCCGTCTTCTTGGCCTACGTCACTTACGGTATTTGGAACGCACGCCGACTTTTGCGGTTAAAGCAGCCATTTTTGAGGTGGAAAGCTGGTCATCCTCTACAGTGATCATTAAAGCGTGAGATCCCTATATTTACAATTTGGAAACTTGTTCCTTTGAAGCCTTTGAGGCTATTAAACAAGGCCTGTTATTTTATTGAAACATGTGAGTGTCCTTATTCTATTGATTTATATGGTATTGAGTGGCAGTATTACACTATGTAGCCTTTCTTTCCTTGCACACTATTGAGGATTCCATGGAGAAGTAGAGTGGAGTCGATTGCTGTATCTAAGCAGGGTGAAGGCGATTTGGGTTCCTCCTGAGGGGCTATAGGATCCATTATATCCTATGAGGTTTATTACTCACCTCCATCTGGTGAGTGTGGTCAATTTTTCACGTGGTGATTAGGTGGAAGCACATTTTGGAACATTGTTTTGAAAATCCTTTTGGGAAAATAAGGACTTATGTTTGAAATATTATATATGTATTTTTGCACGGACATTTATTTATTTGTGATTACTTTTATGTATTTAATTTTTGCACTGTTTTTTGTGTTATTTAGTCTGATAATATATTTTTTTCATTACAAATGGCTACAATTAGCGCAAGGCAAGTATTGAATACCTGAGCTGATCCTGTACAATAAACTGCATGTTTTGTCAGCTGTCCAGTTTTTAAGGACTGCATTTCAATCCAAGCTACAATGCACATTTGGCACACACACAGAGGTGAAAATCTGCTTTTTATCATCTTGTCAGATTACTCACCACTTCTCTCTCTGGCGAGCTAGGCCTTGATCCAGAAAGTCCATTCTTTGTTGGAGTTTTTGCTTCTTTTTTTGGAAATTGAATTTTTTTCAAGTCTAAACGGTCATAAGTAACCCACTCATCTAGCCGCTTATTAACTGTAAGAATAAAGAAATAATTACCATTTTTGGTTTATATACCGCTATCATTTTCTACATTATGCTACAACATATGTTGTATTGGTTTGTTAAAGAGTAATGGCCCTTTTGTGGAAAAAAATAATACAGCATATACAATTGCTACACAAGTCATACTGTAATTTTATATTAAAAATTACCTTTCATTTTCAAACTGCAGCCACTCTAATTTTCAGTAAAATTCAATGCAATATGGCAACCAGTTCTGTATACCATTAGTGTAGAAAACACCTCTAAAAACATAATTTCCTGCTTGGGTTAAAAAAACTCTGCATTAGATACAAGTCAGGCTTTAGGCATCCTTTGCAGCAAAAAATGCCATTTTTGGTGAGAAACTCCCTAAGCCTTGATTCACATCTGTGCGGGTGCTGACGCTGCAGGACTGCATTCACACCACCCACACAGAGGAATGCGGGACCCGCAAGCGGGTGCCATTAATTCTTATGGCACACTGCCCACACTGGAAACTGCAACTGTACTGGGAACCTCGGTTCCTGTGCAGGCTGCGATTTCCCAAGTAGTGCACGGACTTCTTCCCTGCGTGTCCAGGGGCACAGGAGTCCATTCAAATGAATGGGCTCTCGTGCCCGTGCTAATCGCGGCCCGCACAGGTGTGAACCAGGGGTTAATGGCTTCTAAATAGACATAGAAACTGCAACTTTTCTCATTAGAACACTGAAAGTGTATCAGCTGATTGTACTCCCTTTTAGAAGCACACTGCGCAGGACATGGTCTAACACAGAGCTATTCCTTCTGCACAGAAACAGATAGGAATCTGCAACAAAAAATTTTAAAATCCTTGCAAAGTACATTGATCACTAGAGTGGATTATTTTTCTCTTAACAAAAGCGGAGTCACTCTTTAATATGACACAATAATATTTAACCTGTGGTGGGCGTGTTCATAAGACTGTAGCTCTGTGCCAGCTATATTGACTTTTAACTTACACATGTACAAGTGTCCGCAGGAGCATGACTGACATATATATTTTCTATTTTCTACACACCGTGCAGTTTGCTGTAAGCAAAACTATTGCATCTCTGCACCTGATTAATAGAGGTGATTTTGCAGTTTTCCATATAGAAAACAGACACAGATTCTGTTGTAATGGATGTAGGCAGTTGGTACACTACTCACATCTCTTGTAGGGTTGTTAAGCATGCAGACTCTGCTTGTGTAGGGATTACACTACACGAGCAGAGAATGCAGGGTTAACAACTCTACTCCTCCTCTCCAGCTCTGAGCTGGGCAGGGACCAGTGATTGCAGAGAGATTGGAGTGTGCAGTTCCAGCTCTTATGGTCATGTGCTGTGTCTGTCAGACACGGCAGAACAGAAAACTGTATTCCTAATTAACAAAGGTGATTGTGCCCCTTTTGTTAATTAGGAGCAGGCTTTGCTCCTTTTTTATGTTTAGAAGAGCAATGCAAGCATGGTGCTTGCATTACTCTGTTAAAGTGGTTGTAAACCCTTACACGTACACATGAAGTGACTGGCTTCAGGTGATACACAGAGATAAAACAAATCCTCCTACATAAGTTGTACCTGTTTATTTGCAGTATTCTTTTCATCTGTTTAAAGTACTGAATTTATAAGCTTGTCTGAGAGTTCAGAAAAAAATGGGAGCAGAGGAGATGAAATTACACTCTGCAGAGCTCAGTAAGAAGAGCTCAGTGAGCTGAATGAAGGGAAGAGACACCCCCCCCCCCCCCCCCCCACACAGCTCACAGGAACAGAACTGAGGCTCTCAATCTGCTGGAGGTCCCTCCCCGTAACCTTTTTCTATTGGTGTCAGAAAAACTTGTGAGAAGTGATTTATGCAGAGAGCAAAGGAATGAAACAGCAGACAGAAATGACACTTAGTGGGCTTAATTGAAACAAGTACACATTATAGAGGGATATGTTTTGTTCGTATTTCATGTCTGAGGTTTAAAACCACTTGAATTCCTCCAATTCAGTAGCTGTAGATAATTACTATGATTTCGCAGTGATCACCTGAGAAAAATCTGTCTCCCCCTGCCTTGTTCATACCATAACACATATTGCCACACATTTTGGCATTTGCTGTGTTGAGGTACTGGAGCTTCCAATTTAACAGATGGGACCATTCAGAGAAACATACGCAAACTGCTGACACAGCCCAGTAATGCGTTACAGAATACAAACAGTGAATGAAAACCTGCCTGGTATGAATGACCCCCTTAATGTCAAGGGGAAGAGGTAGACCACTACACTGTTTCCCAGCACCCTTGGTAGTGGAAAGAGTTGTATACAGTATATTTATCTGTTCAACATGCAAATTACAAAAATGTTCAAACTACACTAGTTCTTACCCTGATACCCAGATACCCTGTTTTACCCAATTTAGGAACACACTAGTCAGCTTCTAATAACCCGAAAACTCTACAGCGCACCAGCTTCTGCAGGAAACTCTAAAACATAACATGTAATTTAAGTTTTTGAAAGCATTTAAAACATATTCTATTAAATTACCAAAATAATATTTTATGAATGCATAGCTTACTCACAGTCAATGTAGTGAACATAGAACAGCTTCTTTGCAGACAGGTCTTTAACACTCAGGATTTCTGCCAATGCTAAAAACAATACAGAAAAATAAAATCATTAACTGAAGGGCATATTGTCATTCCAGGGATGTTAGATTCCTATCGACTGACACCCGGAACATGTAGTTTCGGGCGTCGGGTGGGTAGTTTTTTTTCTACCTTTAGCTCACTTGTCAGGTGGAAGCATTTGGCGGCAGCGCTGCCGCCCGATTGCTTCCACACCGCATTACATTCAGTGGAGCAAAGGGGAGACAGGCAGGGTCTTTTAGACCCTGGATGCCTCAATAAAGAGAACCTGTCACCAAACAATCATCACATAGGGGGACTTTGTCCCCCTATGTGATGAAAAAAAAAATTAAGGCCCCCCCACCCCCCACATATATGCACGTACAAACGTAAAAGCTGGGGTGCCTACGCATGCAGATTGCGATACACGTCACATATCGCCGCGCGTGCCAGAATGAGAGCAATAATTCTAACACCAGACCTCCTCTGTAACGCTAAACCGATGACCTATAAGGAGCTGTAAAAGTGTCGACCTATAGAAAATATAGGGTACTGAGGTTCGTTGCCATTTCGCGAGCGCGCACAAATTTAAGGTTTGACAAGTTCGATATCTATTTACTCGGTGCAACCTCATCTTTTATATGTAAAAATAGGGTAATTTATTGCTTTTTTTGTACCCTAAAATTAACTTACTTGTATTTTTTACTGAAATTTTGTGGTAATATCACGTGACATAAAAAACTGGAACTACCACTATTTTATTCTAGGGTCTCTGCTTTCAGAAAATAATGTTTGGGGCTTTTATGTAATCTTCAGGCCTAAAATGATTTTTTAAACTTGTGCAAAAAAATTAAAAACCGGCTCTGGCAATCGGTGCTCATTACACTGCAAGGTCTCTCCTCTCCCTGCTAGTCCCCGGGTGCGGTGCTGGAGAAAGGCAGGGAGGGGAGGAGGGGATAAACTGTGCAATGGTAAAAATATTAAACATTTAAGTGTGTGTTTTTTGCCTTCCTCTGGATCAACTGTGGGTGTAGGATTATATTTTTTTTTTTTTTTTTTTTTTACGGTTGAACTGGATGGACTTTTGTCTTTTTTCAGCCAGACTCACTTTGTGCTAAAAATATCACAGGATATTAAAATACACTCATAACTGACAGCTGGATTTAGATTTCTACATGACCCTCTTAGATTAAAGCTGGCCATAGATGGACTGAATGGCAGGCGGTTCAGCAGGGACTGGCCAAGATTAGATCCATCTATGGATAGGCCGATTGTACATAAGTCGATCCATCGTCCATGTTGGATGGTTTTTACATGCGATTACTGCCAGCGGCTATAGTCGCTAGCAGTAATCATTGTGTTCTACCGGCCAGGAGGGCTCTCTGTTGGCATAACACAATAGTGCTACAGGATGGTTTCTCCCATCAACACTGAATGTGTTGATGAGGGAATCAAGAGATTTTCTTCTTGCAACCCGTGGTTGCAGGAAAGAAAAATTGAATCATCTATGGCTTGCCTTAGGGTAGATCACACACTGTGCATTTATTAAAAAATAATGAATCATAAACAAGAGAAAATCAGAATCACGTACGCCACTCCACTTCATTGTCTTGATTCTTGCGAAGGACAGGTAATCGACATCCTTCCACAACCTCTGCCTGAAAGTATGAAAGCAGTGTTAACACACAAATAGATCTTTTGTTTTTTTCTACAAATATAAAATATTAAAAATGTCCACCTTGAAAATAGTTGCTAATTCAGAACTCTATCAACAATACTTTGAAAAAGTCAGTTGTAAATATGACATAACAGTTGTTGAATACGTTAAAGAGAAAAATGCATTCAAACTGGTTTATATACGGCCGTCTTTGGTGTATGTAAACCCCAAATGTATTTTTGTCATATTTGGCATTATGTCTCATTTTTCTTAAGCAAATCTTTACTTTTGTGAATCTACTGAATTTTTATTTTCTGGACTTCCTACCAGTAAGGCCTCTTGCACACAGAACTGATGTTTGAACACCTACTTTTTTTAACGAAATTTCAGGCACTTGCTTTGCATGTACTTCCTGTAATTGCTCTGTATAGATTGTCTATGTATATCACAATCAGGATACCGCTGGAGCGCAGCAGGGCTTGCAGGAGAGCTAATACCTTTGTAAACACTCAGGGTGCAGAATCCAGAGCAAATGGTAGGGCTACAAACTGGCAGTCCAGAGAAATATGCAAGTAGTATTAAAATGCTGGAAAGGCACAGTCATGCAAGTATGCATCCTTGATGTTAACAGAGGCTACAAAGTCTCCCTGATGGAGGCTATGACGGACCTGGAGGATTTGTACTTGAGTGATGACATTTAAGGCCTTCAGATCAAAGATGCAGTGGATACCCCTCTGTAGTTTTGCAACAAAGAAAACGTTGCAGTAAGAACCTTAAAATCTTTCAGCCACTGGAACAATGGTGATAGCTCCATCGTTCAAAAGATCTGCAAAAGCAGTATGGAGGTCTGCTATTCTGTGTGGAGATACAGACAGGTTAGACAACATCAAGTAGGACAGGGATGTGGACTCTAGCTTGCAGGACCTGGAAACCATGTCTCTTATGCAGGCATCCAAGATGTCCAGGTGTGTTCACACCAGCGGCTGATGTGCAGTAGGAAACGGGCACCTCAGCAGTGCCAATGTGCCTTTTTTTAATGAACTTTAGTGACATTTTATTACATTCTATTGGTCACCACCATGTGGTGCAAGGTGGTGCAAGATGGTGGATTGCATCACACTGCAATGGAAAATAAGTAGGACTTGGATATGCTAAAGTAATAAAAAGTCTTCAAATTTACAGAACAAGTCCAGTTGAATATGACAAACCACTACTAGATAAAGCATATGTCAATTTGTTTGTGTAGGTTCACAGTGGGAAGCAAAGCTGAATACACAGCCGCTGGTATGCACTGGGAGACAAAATGCTGATGTGCCGATCCTGGCATATTACTTAATACACAACACTTATTGATGCATTTTTTTTTTTTTTGGAAAGGGTCAAGGACTTTTTTTTTGCCCCGCAGCAGATTACGTTTTGCGTGTTACAGACTTCAAAGGACCCAAACCAAAAATGCAAGTGTTGCGTTTTTTATGCATTTTGTGGTTTTGGTTTTTTTTTTGCTATTAGGAAAGTATGACAGTTATGTCCATGTAGTGCAACTTTACACTCTATGGCACTCAAATAGCATGAAAGTTACACAAAAGTGCTGGAACCTTTATGTGTCCAAAGTCGCATGTTAGGGTTAAAGGTAGCCCTTGGCCCCAACATTTAACCCTAACCCTTGGCCCCAACATTTAACCTGAACCATGGCCATAACACTAGCCCCTAACCCTAACATTTAACTGTAACCCTAACATTTAACCATAATCATAGCCCTTAACCCTAACCATTAACTCTAAGCCCTAATCATAGCCCTTAATCCTAGCCCTACCTCTTAACCCTAACATGTGACTTTGGACACAAAGTTTGCTGCTACTTGAGTGCCAAGAGTCGCACATCAAAGTCGCACTACCTGAACAGAACTGTCATACTTTCCAATTAGCCTAAAAACCCCCCCCAAAAAAAAAAAACACACTGCGCCAGAAAAACCCATCAACTGCAACCTGCATAGATGTGAACCTAGCCTTAAAGCAGTACTATACTTCATGTCAGCTCTGCGGTGTCCCAGAGCTCCTGCAGTAGTCGTTGACATTGTTGGCTGTTTCCATTAGCTAACATGACAACACTCCCGCAAATTTGTGGGGGATCATTCATCGCGGCAGATGCTGAAATTGTATGCTGAGCTGCATAGCAGACAGGCAGGTAAGAAACTTTAGAGCAAAAGAAACAGAGGCCGATTTACCTAAACTGGACAGTGTAAAATCTGCAGCTGGTCATTGCAGCCAATCAGCTTCTAACTTCAGCTTGTTCAATTAAGCTTTGACAATAAGTCCTGGTTCACACTGCTGCAACTTCAGGTGCGACATGTGATTTACAAATCGCATCTAATGTATTTCTATGGCACTGTCTTAATAGGTGCAATTTCAAGTAGCGAGATATTTTTTTCACCACTTTAGTGCAACTTAACTCTCATAGACTATAAGGTAAATGGCACTGAATTCGCACCTGTGTCTATATAAGTGCTACTTTTAAGTCGCTCTTTAAATCCGACCAATTCACACCACTTTTAATTTTCACTCAGTGTGAACCAGGATGTAAACCCGGAAGCTGATTGGTTTCTATGAAGAACTGAACAAGATTTTGCTCTCTCTAGTTTTAGTAAATCAACCCCATTGAATATCTCTTCTGCAGTTAAAAATCTGCCTGTTTTGGTAAATCAACAGTTGATTGTACAAAGATTGCATGTTCAGACAGTAACATGTTGGGTGACCCTTAGAATTATATCGAACTGCCCTGTGCTGGAACTTTAGTGGAGATCTAGATCACTGTGAGAGCATAGTGATCCAACAAGCCCCCAACAATATGTACCTATCACCAATTAGTTTACCTTTGTAATATGTTCCAGCTCTTGCTTCCTCTCAACCCCAAAACCCCCAGCCTCTGACAGCCGCAGGGGATCCTCCCCACATCTGATGTCACAATTTGAAAAGAGGGCAGCCATGCGGGGCTCAGCCCACGTGATTACGTAATTAATTCACCCAGTTCTGTGACAAAACTACAAGTACTGCTGTCCACTGCTGCCTAAGGCTTGTATTTCTCAATGAACCATGAAGGAACTGCTGAGAAATTTTTCAGTTCTTCCTGCCATTCAGTAACTGCCCATTCAGGAGGTGTGGGCAGACAATGTACTGAGAATCTGCAGGAGCCTGCCATTGCACCTGCGCTCTGTTGATTGTGGGTGTAATGCTTTACAGGCTCCTGTGTAAAAAAAAAAAAAAAAAAAAAATAATAATAATAATAATAATAATAATAAATCCACTTTTTTTTTACCTGCAAAAAGATGTGCATTTATATATATATATATATATATATATATATATATATATATATATATATATATTTTTTTTTTTTTTATAAAAAGGTGAACTTATCTTTTTTAACTGGATTTGCAGACGGCATGTAATACTGTTGTGCTCTGTGTGATTTTTATTCTTTCCCTGCTCTATTCAAAACTAAAGCCTTCGCCAGTGGAGGGCCGTGCTACCCTACACAAGTGTTCCATGCATACCTGTGCAGGCAGTCCCTTTCATGTCAAATGGGACACAGAGGTTGCAAGGACACAAATCTGACATCCGTTCACCTGCACAGATGTCAGATTGGGATCAGCGTCTGTGCATCCCTGTGCAGGCAGTCCCTTTCATGTCAAATGAGATACAGAGGCTGTACGGACGCAAATCTGACATCCATTCACCTGCACAGATATCAGATTGGGATCAGCGTCTCTGTATCTTTGTGCAGGCAGTCCCTTTCATGTCAAATGGGACACAGAGGCTGCACAGACAAAAATCTGACATCCATTCACTTACAGAGATTTTAGATTGGGATCATTGTCTGTGTCCGTGCATCCCTGTGCAGGTAGTCCCTTTCATGTCAAATGGGACACAGAGGCTGCACAAACGCAAATCTGACATCCATTCACCTGCACAGATGTCAGATTGGGATCAGAGTCTGTCTGTGCAGCTGCTCCATCCCAAGTGACATCAATGCAGTTGCCTGCATGGAGATGTATGGAATACCTGTGCATCATCATGCAGGTAAACACAGCCCTCCATAGGTGTACACTTTAGTACCCTGTGTGAAAGAGGCCTAAAAAAAGGTTTTGTCTTTAAAGCGGAGTTCCAGTTGAATAAAAAAAATAAATAAATAAAAGTCAACAGCTACAAAAACTGTAGCTGCAGACTTTTAAATAAAGACACTTAACCGTCCCTTGGTCCAGTGGTGCCCTCACTACGTCTGGTTTCACCGGTCGTCTTCTCTCCTCAGCGCCGGCATCCTTATGCAGGCCATAGACTTCCAATAAAGTTGACGAATTATCGGCCGATAAAAAAAATCGGCTGATATTCGGATCATTAGTGGGGAAAATCGGTCGGCCGTTTTTCGGAATTTTAAGACATTTAGAAAATTGGCCCTGCTGGAAAATCGTCAAACGATTTGGTTGTTCGGCCGATTTTCACAGTAATTATGGTCAATTCGGCCGTTCTTTTTGCAGATTTTCAAATAAACTGAATATGAAGAAAAAGAAGAAATAGAATATCAAGAAGAAGAAATAGATTTTGCAGGAGAAGAAAATAGATTTTGCAGGAGAAGAAGAAATAGATTTTTCAGGAGAAGAAGAAATAGATTTTGCAAGAGAAGAATAAGTGCAAATAGTGCAAATAAAAAAAGTATCACGGACAGTACTCAATTGTTTCTGTCACAAATGCACTAATATGGCTACAATCACCTCATGCAAGAGAAGAAGAAATAGATTTTGCAGGACAAGGAGAAATAGATTTTGCAGGAGAAGAAGAAATAGATTTTGCAGGAGAAGAAGAAATAGATTTTGCAGAAGGAGAAATAGATTTTGCAGAAGAAGCAAAAGTTGCAACATTGTATCTATTTGTATCCATTTCGGATACAGATGTTTCTATTCAAGTACAAATAGATACAATGTTGTTTCATCTTCTTATGCATTATCTA